CTCTCTCTCTCTCTCTCTCTCTCTCTCTCTCTCTCTCTCTCTCTCTCTCTCTCTCTCTCTCTCTCTCTCTCTCTTGCTTGGTTGTATCAGGCACACTAACTCTCTAAATGGATCGGCACTCTAAATGGATCGGCACTCAACCCTAACAGCTACGGTGTCTTCTTCCTCCTGCACTCTTCCTCGTCCTTCTCCTTCTCCTTCCCCTTCTCCTCCTTCCTACCTTGTCCTTGTGCTCCTCCTCCTCGTTCTCCTTCTCTTCGTATTTGATGTCCAAAAAAGTTACAACTGAGGGATGCAAATGGTCAATCACAAGTTCCCATGTAGCCGTGTAGGCAAAAGGAGAAAGAAGTCCATTAAAAAAGGGGGGGGAGAAAGTGGGGGGGGGAAGGGGGAAAAAAAGGGGGAGAAAAGGACAAGAAACAGGGGGCTGTGACAGGTTGTTTTGTCAGAGTTTCACGGACTCCTCAGGAGGCTGAACCCTCTCCAGCCTGGAGAGTCCCCTAACCAATGATATTGTAATCGCAATGAGACTCGTCTTCTTGCTCACTCAGCATGCATGAAGCAGATGGCAATCACACTGGCGCCAGGCGCCCACACAAAGCTCAGAGATATTGCAGCGGAGCACACAGTTCAGATTCAAACTTGCTTCAAATCGGCTATGGCGCCTGTGCGCCCTTACATCACCCTTCCGACACTGTATCCTCAACAGCTATGGCTGCGTTCTACCTCTACCACTAACTAGCGGCCCTGGATCTCGCTGGATGGCCCACACATGCACGCTACCCTGGATCTGCCTGGATGCCCCACACACGCTCACACGTCGTTGAACACTCGCACACATACAAGCTTTAGTCTACCTCTAACCTACAGCAGCTATGGCTGCGTTCTACCTCGACCACTAACTAGCGGCTATGGCCGCTTCGTCTCCCTTTCAGCCCACTTCTTCCTCGGGCACCTGCAGACCTCCTTGCACAATTCGCTCAGGCAGCGCTTCCACACGGCTCACAGTCTGAATGAATGAATAACTGGATGCTGCCTCTTGATTTGTACTTCGGTTGGTCGCTGGTCTGCTCCTTTCCACCGGGTCTAGGGTGCGCACACCTCCCACATGGTACTTGCTGACTTGACAAAGTGCGACTGAGACTGGGTGCCGCTGACTAGGCAAGGTTGGACTACTCACTTGCCCACTTGCCTCTAGCCTAACCTAAACAATTCTCGCAAGGCCACTTCCGGACCTTCTGTAGACTTGGCCTTTCGGAACTGTAGCAGCTAGGACCTTGACCTTTCAGGACTGTAGCAGCTACGACCTCTACACAATTACGTCCCCTACTTGACAGACCTACGGTCCAAGACCCGACAACCACACTAACCTGCCTGCGACAGACAACAGATGCCTGTCGAAACACAGGTCACGGGTTCAAACACGCAGGAATCGACTCGGTACTGCACACGGGATCAGGACAGGTCTAGGGATCGAGCCCTGGGATCTGCATCTACTAACACGAAGGTGAAAACCGTTTCAGTAATTGATAAAAAACACCATACCGTCTTCACCAGAATAGACAGCCTGGGCATTGGTGCTGTATCTAGACTGAACATCGCGTCAACAATAAAGGTATAGTGACCGGTCATTCGGTTCGGGCGAGGACGGTAGGTAGCCCCCCAATTGAGCATCAATGACTGTGAATGTTAGCAATCCGAGAGCCCCATTAAACTCTGCCACTCCTATAGTGAGTGTAAATCCTTCGGAGTGCAAAGGGGGGGGGGAAGGCTTAAAGGGGTTTTATAAGGGGGCTGCCTTAGTTTGATTTTTGCGTTTGAGTGATCCATTTGAGTGATCCATCGCCATTGGGTTTGCAACTTGACAAGCTAACGGGCCTCGCTTCACTGGACAATATTCCGAATGTATCTGGAGCTGGTTTGGTCCCGATACACTGATCCGTTGTTGGATCAGTTGGAATGTATCTGGGCAACAATACTGAGCACATGCATGTCAAACGTTGAGCAGTGGAGCGAGGTCGCACATCTTCATTCTTGATTTGAAACATTCATAATATTTCATATGTTCTTTGAATTTCTTTATCCTGGTTCCTTGTTGTCTTGATTTGCAGGTCAAGTGGAGAACAAAAAAAAAAAAGTCAAATGATCTTTTGTCCTGTTTTGTTGTTTGCTCTTGGTGTGTGCCATCTGCAGGTCATTAAAAAAAAAAAAAAAAAAAAAAAAGAAGTTAAATGTTCTTGTTTTGTTTCCTTGTTTGCTTGGTGGGTGCGATGTGCAGGTCCATGGATTTATGATGTTTCTCGCATGGGGGGTGCTTTTACCCGGGGGCGTTATGGCAGCCCGCTATCTTAAAGCTCTTGAGACACAGTCGCATCCGTATGTGCTATCCCCTTCAACCAACTGATCAATAATTAGGTGCAATCTGTATGGACAAAAAAAAAAAAAAAAAAAAAAGCAAAAAGAAAACGGGCCTCGCATGTGAGGCCATTTCCCTAGATATCGTTTCCAGGTGCAGTCTGGAGGAAAAAGCTGTATTTCATTTTCCAGCTGTGCGATCTTTCAACCACCACTACCTCTGAGCCAATAAAACGGTGCAATGACTCCCGAGGACTTCTTTTTTTTTTTTTTTTTTTTAAGCACAGTGGATTTCCGCTGTGCGCCAAAAGAAGATGAGCTGCCACATCACACGAGGACTTCTTTTTTTTTTTTTTTTGGGGGGGGGGGGGGGGGGGGGGGGGGG